TCTCAGGAGCAGCTGGTGAGCTTGAACCACCAACCTTGCAGTTCAAACAGCTTTGCAGTCTTGTGCATTAACCCACAGTGCCACCCCAGGACTCTTAGCATCAGTATAATAACCAGTAAAGTAGAGGGTCAGTGAAAAAGAGGAGGGCAGACTGACATGGCAGCTGCAACAATAGTTTCAAACACAGCAAAGACTGTGAGGCTGGTGCAAGGCCATGCTCATCATGAGTCCGGATTGACTGGACAGACCTAACAACAACAACGTTCCTATCTAATGTCACCCTTCATCTCTCTCCTTTTCATCACTCTGTTTATTTTCTTTATGGTAAATTTCATTAATTAATTCCATTGTTTGTTCCTTTACTTGTATAATGGTTCTCCTTCTTGAAGAAGATTTAAAATACTTACTAATGAGCATCAAAGACCACATCCTTCAGTACGGATTGAACCTCGATGTAAAGAAAACAGAAATCCTCACAGTTTGACCAATAAATAACATCATAATAAATTGAGAAAAGATTAAAGTTGTCAAAGACTTTATTTGCTAAGATCTACCATCAACATCCACCACTCATCTGTCAGTTTGTCGTACTGTGGTGGCTTGTGAGTTGCTGTGATTCTGGAAGCTATGCCACGGATATTTTAAATACCAGCAGGGTCACCCATGGTGGACAGGTTTCAGATAAGCTTCCAGATAAAGACAGACTAGGAAGAACCAGTGACAAACTATTTCTGAATATTTAGTCGCAGAAAACCCTATGAATAGCAGAGAAACACTGTCAGATATAGTGCCGGGAAATGAGCCCCTCAGGTTGGAAGGCACTCAAAATGTGACTGGGAAAGAGCTGCCTCCTCAAAGTAGAGTTGACCATGAAGACATGAATGGAGTAAAGCTCATGGGAGAAAAGCCTACCTTCATTTGCTGATGGGCCACAACTCAAAATGAAGACAAACAACTGTAAACATCCATTGAAAATTGGAACATGGACTGTATGAAGTATAAATCTAGGAAAATCGGAAATTGTAAAAAATGCAATGGAATACATAAACATCAATATCTTAGGCATTAGTGAGCTGAAATGGACTGGTATTGGCCATTATGAATCTGACAACCACATGGTTTACTATGTCGGGAGTTACAAATTGAAGAGGAATGGTGTTGTCAAAAAGAACATATCCAGATCAGTCATGAGGTACAATGCTGTCTGTGATAGGA